AAAAATTATTTTGTTACACTGCAGCTCATAAACAAAATTATTGTGGTGTTGAACACCACAGGTGTGATATATAGTTTTTGATCTTTTATATAACTTATTAAACTTTCTTTTAGATATTTTTTTAATATAGCTTAACAAATATTATTTATCTTATATATTAATATGCCTTCAAAGAGAACTACAGTAATTGAGTTGCTAAAATTAATCAAAAGACCTTGAAAAAAATTGTTAGATTTAATTGTTCTTACACGTATAGTAAGATATCGATATAATTCTATGGCTTGTATTAGTTCCAATAATTTGTCAATTTCGTTATCCAGAACTTTAGTAATAGCCTTATTCGTGCTAGTTGAGTATTCATTCATAAGTTTCTTTAAAATATTATTTATTTGTTTAATTTGACGTTGTCAGTGTGAAATTTTAGGCATGTTAAGTATAAAAAGAAGCAGTATCAATTAAGAATAAAATAATTTATAATAAGGAAGACATATAAATAAGTGTATTCGAATTTTAATTAAAAAATAAATAGGATATGTACCTCACTTATTTGAAAATAAATAGGATTTGTACTCTTATTTGAAAATAAATACGACTTCTTTTAATTCTGAAACCCCTTACTTAAAAGTTAAACCAAGCATTCTTGACATTATCTGTATAATTTGAAATTATAATTGCTACGCCACATTCAGAAATTACTGACCCTACTATTTTATGACATTTGATGCAAAAAATAGTCGAAGTAATCGTTTCTATTGATTGCTTCTATTAGTATGTGATACGTTGCCATTGTCTCCTGTGTAATTCGAATTGATCACACGTGAAATGAAGCATTAATAATCGATATTTTAATTTCACTTTTACCAATACAGTTTTTTTAAAAATAAAATAAAATTAACAAATTTATAAATTTGATTATATTAATAACATATAAAAAAGTAAATAAAGAATTCTTCTTTACGAAATAAAATACCAAATTTTTTATGTTAAATCTTCAGTTCTTGCAAATGAATTGACTCAAGAATGCTTAATCTCAAGAAACAAATTACCAAAAATACAAATGTTAAGAATAATCTAAAATTTACAGATTGTGAAAGAGAAAATATTAATTTCTGTAATATAATGAGATTAGATCTTATAGAAATGTTTGATAACTAAGAAAATTACTACGGTTTCATCTTACTAAGTGCATTTTACATAAACTCATTTTATATAAATATAAATTTAAAAATTTGCTCGATTTCTATAACTAAAATATTTTGAATCATATAACTTACTAGCATACATATCGTAAATATATTTGTTTAATCGAATCTGGGTTAACCTACCCTATAAAAAAAGTTCATCCAATATATATTCTAAAACTATTCAGTTTTATATCCAGTATTATGTTCAATTATTGTTTAAAAAAATATTCAAAATAGAGTCGATTTTTTGAACAAATTTTTAAACAATAATTTGTAAAATTTTGTACACGTATATGAATTTTTTATTTAATTTTTGACTTACTAATGTCAAGGTATTGTATGATTAATGTATTACAAGTTGATTACGTTCGATATTTGTTTTAGCGTTATTGCAAAATAATATATTTTTTATTCAATTTTTGTATAAATATTACATTACACACAATTGAAATTCCAATAAGTTTTCGCCACAACTTTTACTTATGCACATATTATAAAATCACCATGGTTTACCTATTCACTAAATTAATTTCTGGCAAAAATTTGATAGATGCATCTGCAGTATGGTTTTAGTGGATAATTTAACCAAATTACTGACAATTATATGAATCTACACATATTTCTTTGCTTTTCATGCCAATAAAATTATAATTATTTTTAATTTATTAAATATCAATTTAAATATCAATAAATATATATTATTATCTCATACTATTAATTTTCACTTTACTAGACATTTTTAAAGATCGTCCTTTAGTTAGCATATTACTTTCCTCATATTTATGATATTACATATTTACAGAATCATTTGTATTTATAGAAGTGTTTCAAAATTCAATAGATTAATATACCTGGTAGTATAGTTATGTAGCATGCGGTTAGAATTTTGGATCCTTTTATCAGATCTACTTGACGGTTCAATAGTATCATTTAGACTTATATTTTGAATTTCGTGATTGATGTTTTGATGTTGAAGGGTATTTAATGAAGTACGGGATGAAGATGTCAAGCGAGCATTATTTGTATTATTTAGTGAGCTTAAGGTTTCAACAGCTGAGAATTGATCTTGATCGACAGTCTGAATAAATAAATAAATAAATAAAACAAAATTTAATATTTTTTTTACATAAAATAACTTAATACTTGAGTTTACATACAAATTCTTCAAGGGTTTTATTTGATGCTAAATAAGTAGAAGCCTGAGAGGATGATTGTATAGTATCACTCATTCCAACAGATAAATCTTAATTTATAAAAAAGAAATACAATTTAAATAATTAATTTATTTTCTATTTTATAATATATTTTTTTTACCCATCTTTCTTTTCTTACCATTATGAGATAAATGAATTCTCTTATTGCGCTTTTCAATATCCCCTATTTAAAGAATGAATCGATTAGTTTTATACTCTCTTATATCATATAACTTTATATATATATACATATATTTATTGTTAATTATTCCCCGCATCATTTGTCTAATTGCCCAATCACAAGCAATAGGAGAAAACTTTGGATTTTTGCGGTTGAACTAAATAAAAATCATTTGATTATTTAAAAGTAATTAGAAAGTGCAATTAAAATAAAATTATATTTGCCCTTTTAATAATTTCATTTTTTTCATTCTCTGGTATTCTTCAAAACTTGGAAATTTCTTTTCCATATTTTGCCATCACTATTAAATGAAATGATTCCTAGAATAGTTGTTAACAAAATGAAATAATTATAATAAAGGCTAAAGTAATGATGATAATAATTTTTGTTACCTGATAACTATTGTATATAGCTTTGTCTAGCTAAAGAGCTTTGGGAATATCAATATATGTCGTTTCATGTAGCTTTTCAATTGGAACTAACTTTTTGCAGAACAATTTCTTCATGAATAATACAGTAAAATAATGATATCAATCAAAGATTAAGAAATATACATATACAATAGAAACCTTATCACTAGTACTTTCCGATTCTGAACTAGATATATCTTTACTTTTTTTTTTGTAGCTTTTCTTTTTTTTAGTATTTTTGCTTTTTCTTTTTTTGGATGTGTCATTATCAGTGTTGTTAGAATTGGTATCGAATTTTTGATTTTTTGTTTTCTTGTTATAAGTAGCCTGAAGTTTTTCTAAAGTTTCCAATCATTTAAGCAGAGCTGAAATTTTATTTTTTGTTAAAAAGTCGTCATTATCAGTATCTGAATCTTGCATATTTCTGTCGACTTCAACTTCTACCAAAGACTAATTAGAGCTTTCTTCATCACTTTTATTATTGGCTTTTGGTTTACCCATATTTGATTGTTTGCTTTTTATAGTCCTTTTTGTTACTTGTAGCTTTTTGTTTATTCTTATTCGATTATTTTTTTTTATAGACTATTTGTAATAATAATTTATTTTCAATTGTAATGACTAAAAACAATACCTTATTTTATATAAAAAGAGAATATTACACAATTTATTTTCAATTGTAATGACTATAAAGGCAACAATTTATTCTTTTATATAAAAGTATAGTATGTTATACAATGAGTTATTCGATTAGTAATAGTGATAATATATGAATATAACATATTATAAGTTTTAATTAGTAATAGTGAAGTAATAGTGATAAAATATAAGAATATAAGTTTATTTATTCAATTCAATAAAAAAATAAGAATTGATTTTTATTTTTTAAAATTAATACAATGTCTGAGATACAGGTTTGGTGTACTTGTCAAATATGTATATTATATGAAAATAGTAGATCTTTAGTATTAAAAGTGCCAGAATTCAGTATCAACAACATGATAGGTGAAATAATCGAAGTTCTAGTAATAATTCAATACTTCAAGACAATATTCAAAGCCAATTATAAATACATCTTCATATATTTTTGATCAAAAATTGTTAACATTTAATTTAGATAGGAGAAAGGCTCAAACTATTAAGAATAGCTCAGAAAGAAACAATGAATTTGTTAATTGTTTAGAAAAAGATAATGAGCTTAAGAACAATTTAGAAAGTGATAATGAATTTACAGACTGGTCAAGTGATAATGAATTTGAAAATTGCTTAAAAAGTGATAGTGAATTTGTGAATAGATTAAAGTGTAGTAATAAGTTTGAAGACAGTTTAAAAAGTTATAATGAACTTGAAGATGACAATGAATTTGAAAATAAAATAAAAAGTGATAATAGATTTAAAAACAGGTTAGAATGAAATAATGAATTTTAGGAAGTAATAATAATAATTCAATTACATCTAATATAACTTTTATAACAGAAGAGAAAGTTAATAACTAAACTTTAATTAATTAATTAATTAATTAATTAATTAATTATTTATTTATTTATTTATTTATTTTTTTAATGTCATACACCCTTTATTTAACTATTAGAGAGCACACTATTCATATTTTCTGAGATTGCTATCTTAATTCGACTTTTCAAAGTTAAAGTACAAAGTAACTTTTTTAAAGAAGCTTTATATAAGATTATGAAAGCTATAGTTATGAAACCAATGAGTATACACTTAATTGAAAAAACACTGTTATCATTAATACTATTTAAGCCTAAATAAGTAGATATATGCATCAATAGCTATTGTGTCTATATGAATGATTTTAGAAACTTACAAGAATGCCTATTTTGTAAAGAAGAGTGATACCAAGATTGATTTCAAAGAGACAAGCCATGTTAACAATTTGCTTACTTCTCAATTACTAATTATCTAATTATTAAATATCAAGATATAACACAAGCAAAAAATTCATTATATCACTCTGAATATGCTTCAAGATTAGAATATTATTTTAGGAAAGTATCAAAGATGTATTTGAAAGTCAGCGCTATAAAAACTTAGTAGAAAAAGGTTATTTTAAAAATAAATATATTATTGCATCATTAGCATCGATCGATAGATTCCAAATTTTTAAACAGAAAACAAACAATTGCTGCATTTGTGTTATTTATTAATATAAACTTACCACCAGAACAACATGTAAAAAAAGAAAATCTCTTAATTTTTACAGTTATACCTGGCCACAAAGAACCTAAAGACTTAAATTCTTTCTTATTTCTAGCCATCTCTGAATTACAAGAATTGGAGAAAGGAATAGAATATTCAAGTCTTAATTATAATAATAAATTTATTTTGTATTGTCGTATATTATTATAGTCTGGTGATACACCTGCACTTACAAAATTACTAGGTTTTACAGGTTAAAACTATATAGTGGATATTGTTATTGCAATATAGTGAGTACTTATTCTTCACATGTATACTATCCTACTTAACTATCTAAAGAAAAAAAAGGTGAAATTTATAATCCATCAAATCTACCTCTTAGAACACATAATGAGTTCAAAAGACAGATTCAAGAAATTTAAGATGCACAAACAAAGTCATAACAAAATCAAATAATAGAATATTATAGTATTTCGAAAAGAAGTATCTTGTTTGATTCTTAATACTACCAATTTCTAAAAACATTCTCTATAGATATTATGTATTTGTTTTATAAAAATATTGCTAGTTATAGATGTGGTAGATTAGTAAAATAGTCTAGTTGTCACCCCACCAAGTGGCAGGTCCAAAGTTCAAATCTCATAAATAATGTTTTTGAAAAATAAGCCTGCATTATAGTAATGATTATTTATCAATCAGTTGGGTTCTAGAATCTGTAATCTTGGTGATACCAAGTTTACATGGGAGCTTCAGTACATAAAAAACCAAGAAACTAGGATAATTGAAAACTGTTTGGAAAAACCTGAGTAAGAAGTAGCTATAATCTTCGATAGTATTACAAAAAAGACCCAAATTTAGAAGTTAGAACTGAGATTGGAGATCAGAACAACAATAAGATTCTTTAGTGGGGAATTTACCAACCTGATTGCCAATTTAGAAAATTAAAAATCTGTGAGGTATTACAGAGTATACCAACTCTGGCCAACTAGCATAGAAAACTAGTAGTAGGGGGCTTTACCCACCAAGGCCAGGGGTTATAGAAGTTAGATAACTAATAAAAAAATGCCAGGCATGTTTAAAAAACTAGTCTACTAAATTAGAAGAAAAGAACATTTGCTAGGAAATTATTTACCAAGATCAGATAAGAGTACCAGCAACTAAAGCCAAGCCAAGATCAAATCTTCTAGATTACTAGTTAAAAAAAAGGATAGACTAATAAGAAAATAACAAAAAAAGAAAAAGTCCAAATGTGGGTACCAAAATTAGAAGTAAACCTTATAAGGGTAAAAGTAGTTAAATATAAATAATCTCAACTGCAAGTGGGAGTCTCAACAACTGCATAAAACCAGGCTGGCTCAAATAGAATAGGATAACATCACGAAATTTTTTAAGTAGATTTATAGCGATGTATAACACATAATCGATTTACATCGATTAAAATTAAACGTTA